GCGAGGCGGTGGCTCGCTCGCTCAGAGATCTCCCAGCAAGTCCAAAACCATCTCTGAGCAAGCAAGCCACCACTTCCCCACCCGCGCTGCAAGCGCGTGCCTGGGCGGCGAACGGCAGCACGGGCCAGATGGATGGCCACGGCGGGCCCACGGGCTGTAGTTTGAGGACCCATGCTCTAGGGCAAGGGTCGGCAACCTTAAACACTCAAAGAGCCATTTGGACCTGTTTCCCAGAGAAAATACCGGGAGCCACAAAACCCTTTTGACATCTAAAATGAAGATAACACTGCATATATCGTTTTTTACCTTTATGCTATGTATAGAAAAACTATAGTGTGTTGCATTTATGAAATCAATGAATGATTAATTTATATAATCCCCATCTGTGAACGGCTTCTCGTCCTATTTCCTGAGTGGCCACAAAACTAGCACATGTAGTTGAATTTGCAGGCTTGATCCACTCCTTGAAATGATTCTTGCTCAGATCAACCTTCTGTATCAGTTCCGAAATGGCTTTTATATCTCATCTCCATCCGGGTATTTTTCAGCAAAGGCTGTGTGTTTATTCTGGAAATATCTTGCAATATTTGACTTTTTGTTGTTTGCCAATTTTTCACCACATATTAAGCATACTGGTAAACCAGTCTCGTCAGCAGTGAAAGCAAATGAATCTGCCCACGTACCATTAAATGTTCTGTTTTCTTCTGAAACTTTCTTTTCTTGGATTTATCCATGGTTGGCCTACCGGGGGTCGAAAAGCTCAATAAATCGCGTGCCGGCAGGTGTCGCACATTGGCAGTTGTGATGCATATTTTGAGTGACAGGGAGCTGTAGCAGAGGGATGGAAGAGCCACATGTGGCTCCGGAGCAACGGGTTGCTGACCCCTGCTCTAGGGGAACACTGATATACTGTTTTCATGAGGTGCTAATGACTATTATGTTGCTATATTGTGGCAATACCGAAACCAAAGCCCCCCCCCCCCCCGCCCCCGGCAGTATATGCACAATTGAATTTGTGTAACATTTTCCTTTTTCAAGGTCATATTTACTGTGCACCAGGGTGGAAAAGTCAAGAAAGCCTAAAAGTGATGCCAGCTGGGCAAAGGCAGCATGATTTTCAGGTTTCCTTCTTGGTTTACCAGCATTTCTTTCAGCACTAGAGGATGTGACCCTCTGCATTATAGTAGGATCCATCAAGACCAAAGGACTCAGGCAGTGAGGAAGATGATCAGTCATATTATGACTATGTCCAGCCCTGCAGCCCCTGTTGAAGAAGTTAGCTGTACCAGTTCTACTTGATAGGCCTAACATTACACCCAAATATGTAACGTTGCACAAGTTTTACAGTTCTATTAATTTACAATACTGTGCTGTTTGTTACTATAACAAACATTCAATCCAGCAATCAATTTACAAAAGACTAATACAATCAGTTCCCTTGTGAATTACCCAGAATTTTGCCTATCAGGTGGTTTTGAAATATAATACATAATTTTAGAAGAATTTTTTATGGAAGAATGTCCATTCCTATTGTATAGAATCTTTTTCAAAGGCATCCCAGTTCACATGGCAAAACAAACTTATATGCAAAGTGAATTTTTCAATATACTGCATTAATTAAGGGAAGGCTCTAACATAGGTCCATGTAACTGAGTACAAAACATCCATCCAACACAAAGGCGTGCCCCACCATGAAGCCACACATGCATTTTAGGCAAACGTCCCTTTCACCTCTCCACCCAAAACAGAATTGCAGGGGCAGTGAGAGAGATAACCAATCTTTTCCAAATATGTGCCACAAACCAAGACCCACACTTAACAGAGTACTATACTTCAATGTACATTTATTTTATGTGGATTAGGCTCTTGAAATGAGTAATCTACACCACAGGCCTATATCATAATTAAGTCTGTAAACCCTCTTGTGGCTGCCCAGACACATCTTAAACCTTCTGCTATTTACTACAGAGGCTGGTCATCCCAGATATGAATGAATGAATGCAGTGAAGGCATCCACAAAGTAGCTGTTATATGACCTAACTTTATACTCACCAACTACAATGGCAGTATTAAAATGAAACTGCAACCATTAATTCATTTCACAACTGCATTAAGTAGAAACAGCTGCTAATCCTGGGCCATACTTTGTGTTGTAAGCCGCCCCAAGGCTTCGGCAAGGGGCGGCATAGAAATGTTATAATAATAATAATAATAATAATAATAATAATAATAATAATAATAATACTGAAGACTGACCTACAAGGCTCTTTTAAATTAACCCATCCCTTGAGCCATCCAGTTTAGATTTTTTCATGGAAATATTTTCATCAACTCCATTTGCATTTAATGTTGGCAAATCATAGGCTAATTAATTAACCCACAATTTACCATGTCTCTTTAAACCTCTAACTTCTGACTGGCTGATAAGAGGTTAGCACTGTGACATCCAAACCTGGACACTATGGATTAAGCATGGGTGAAAAAACACAAAGTTAATCAACAATTAACAACACAAAGTACCACTGATCAGGTCAAATGAAGCTTTCATATTCAAAATGGTGGCAGGAGGCTTCAGGCATGTATGTTTACGTGTAAATGGGCCCATTTTCTAACTTGTTTTCTGCAATAATTCCATACATGAAAAAATCCTTTGATAGTTCATTATTTTCCATAAGACTTGAGTTTTGAAGGTCAAAGCAACAGCAGCACACATTAAAAAAAAAGCCCAACACATTTAGCCTTGAATTTGAATGAACATACAATCAGTTCCAAGAATAGCTGCTGTGCTAAAAGCAGTTCTTCATGAAATGTAGTTATTTAATGTTCGTAAGAGTTTATCCAAAGCAACTTCAGGAAACCTGCTTTATGAGATTTTTCGTAACACCTAACAAATGTTCCAAGCCAGAAATTTACAAGCTGATGATGAGTGGAAGACACAGGGTTCAATCCAATTTAAGACAATCTCAGTACCAAGAAACAAAGAAAGGGAAAACAGATTGTGTTCTGTTGGAATCCCTCCTCACATGGATGCCATGCCCACAGCTGGGCTGGATCAAGCATTTATTGTCCAACTGTCTATTCCAAGCATAATTAGCCTGAATATTTTGGTCCATCAAAAGGTTGCTATTCAGCAATGAGAAAGCTGTAAGCCATTTACATAGCCCAATAAATGTTTCAGACAGTGCCAAAGGAATGAAAGAAAAAAACAACTATGATTAAGTGCATTTAGAAGGAGCATCATTATACTAGATGAAAGTCCCAAATATTCTATATATTGTTTTGAAGCTTCTGTGTCTAATGCATTAAAGTATGAAGAAAAAATAGAACTCCAGATGTTTTTACACATGCACGATGGTTAAGGGCAGCTGCTTCATGTATGAATAAACTATGCACTGCAGCATTGTTTCAGAGAAAAAGAAAAATATTATTTCATTAACACATTACAATTGTTAATGAAACCTAAAACTGACTGTCAACTCCACCCCAATCACTATTATTGCTCTATTAAACATACCAAAGGAAATGTGACGTACAAGTCATACTGAACTACTGAAGTAAACATTCAACATGCCTTGGGGACAGAGAAGACACTGTAATGCCTCTAACAGCTCCCTAAACTGGACTTCCATGGGCAGCAGCAAGTGCCAGACAAGCCATTTTCAGACAAGTTTGATGTGTAAGCTGTGGAGTGGAAGAAGCATAAGGGTGTAACCAGGACATCGCCCTTTTCTGTTTATACCTCATTCCAAATGAGGGATGGACCAGTGGGAATGGCAGCAGAATCTTGGATAAACAGCTGTAGTATAGAAAAGTAGAGCCCCAATAATTTAACCCTTCAATCAAGTCTTCTCTGTCATTCCCATGTTGCAAATAAAGGGTGGGACAATAGGCTTAGCCTTGTCCCATGTTCACAGGAAAGTGTAGAAACAAGGAAGGGGATGGGGAAGATTCATCTTCTATCTTCCATCTTCACAGCCCTTCTTTGAAACCCTGGGTAGGAAACTATAAGGATTTAACTTAGCCTCTGCTCTGTACTATTCACTATCAACTTTTATCCAGCAGACATGTTGCACTGAAAATGGTGAGATAAGCATTATGAAATAACATGGTATCTTATTAGGAAGATGATGCAACAATTACAAAATGTCAGCTATGAAGCACCTACACATTTAAATATTGTTATGCACTTTTGTTATTCTAAGTGAATTATGATCAGTTAGGCCAGTGCATTTCCCTAAAGAGAAAATTTTAGGGATCTGAGAATTTGACTATACAAAGAAACAAGAGAATTCTATCAGCGTGGATGATCTGATCAGACTATCTTTACTAACTGTATAACCAAGGTCTCTTTACTGAAAGTGGCAGAAGATTTAAGAAGTCAAACATAAACATCTTAATGAACTGATGTGCCACAAAGTAAGTTAATGGTTATGAGTTAGATGGCTAGAATAGAAATTATACCGCCTCATGGGAGAAAGGTTTATCAGTGGCTATTAGACATAACAATACCCCCATGCCCAGAGGTACCATACTTAAATGTATCCAGTACTTAAGGCAAACATCATGGGTAGCTATTTCCATCATATAAATCTATAAAAGCTAACTGGCTCTCTATTACACCAGATAAAGATGGACTGGACTTATGATGTCCGTAATGTGCTTGAATATAAAGTAAGTCTTGATAAATATTTAATAAATATTAAATATTGAATATAAAGTAAGTCTTGATAAATATGTGACTGAGAGATTTAATTATGCAGACAATTTTGCTCCACTTTTTAAAATTTAAACCATGCAAGAACAGCTATTGGAAAAAGCCATTTTTCTTGTCAGGTAAAAACAAAACATCATATAATGCAAATGCATTCATACACTAGGCATTTACATTCACATGTTAAATGTTATCACAAGCCACTAGTATCTTAGCACTTAATATCCTGTGTGACCATCACTAGATGAGCCTTAAATCTATTTCTAATCCCCACTGTAGATCTACTTACCAAATCCCTGTGTAACACCCAGTTAGCATGTAGGTAATGAATACCATCTAGGATCTGATATAATAGAGATTTCACCATTCCTCGAGGTAACTGAACTGGCTTCTTGTTTGCCTTAGATGCCCTGTGAAACTTTATTATGTGCTGAAAAACAGAAAAACATACATAAGTAGTATGGGTGCTAATATTTTGACACAACACTTCATGCAGGTTAAATCATCCTGGGAATACATAAACCAGCATGGCATTTCTTGGGATTTGAACAAGGATTATGAATAACTCTCCTATTACAAGAGTTAACCATCTCCCTTTTGATTAAGCACTGTATTCATGCTTAGTACCCCAGTAATCAGCTGTGTTTTTATATTCCTATTATCTTCTGGTCCTAAGTTTAAAACCAAGAATCATTCCGCCAAGGTCTGATACACAATGGAAATGGATTTGTTCAGCTCTACGGCAAGACTCATACTCAAGATTTATTCAATTCATTGTGTACCTATTTCTCTACTTGCAGCTTTAAGACATTTACATGAACATACAACACCTGTTCACTGCTTCCATCTGATACTGCTGCCTCTGAATGCATTTATAGCAAATAAAGGTTCAACAGTGCTTCTCATCTAAAGGATATTTATTTATTGTTGTGAGATCTGCCTCCCTTAAATGAGCTGCCATTTAATGTGTGCTATCTTTCAGAATAGGAATTGAATAAATCTAGCTGAGTATCTGTTGTGCTGCCAAGCACAGTAACTATTTTATATATTAAAAGGAAATACCCATAAAAGTTCCTAACAAACTTTGAGATGCCTACAAGAAAACTCTTCTCATACATTCTGTTAATGTGTCTGTTTAGACATCCATTCACCTTGTTAATCTGACCTATTGTAGTGATAGCTATATCTGGAATGAATTATTTAAAGTTTCTGCATCAGGTATCAAAATGCATAGAATATTTTTAGATAGTAAACATAGAGTCCAATGGTGCAATACTTTCAATCCTGTGCTTGAAACTGCAGAAAAGATCAGATGCGTGAGACTAAATCTTTCCGAGGCTTCGCTTTTACACAAAAAAATGTCTGTTACTTAAGTTTATTAGTAACAATGAATGGATGCCAACTGCACATACAAATTAGGCAAGCCTAGCAGATTCTAAGCTGTAATTAATGCTTTTTAGGTGAGTATTCCTAACAAGTATGTGTGAGCATTTATGTATTACAGGAATACATATATGTCTCAGATAAGTAATTCCAGCAAACATGAAGAGGCCCCAACAACCTCAGTGGAACTCTGTTGAAATGATGCAAAAAATAATTAATGCAGGCTTGCACAACCTGCTGAAATCCAAATGCATTACACTGCAATTCCCAGGATCACCAGCCAGCTATGAAGGTGTAAGCCAAGTTGCAGAAAGCTCAATTTGTTTCTCAACAGTTTTTATTATCCTGGCTTTTTAATGCTTAAATAAGGCAAAACTCCACACTATTCCAGTAAACATTTCCAATTATTATAACATTTAAACAACATTATACATTCTCCAATTCCACTCTACAATCCCACTCAAAGATTTTAGGTAAAATACCTGCATATTGGAACAAAAAATTAACATGGATAACCTTACTTTTAAAATAGAAAAGAATTGTTTGTAATTTGGGATATTTTTCTTTATAAGCTAACCTAAATTGGCGCTTCTGTACATCTTTATCCTGGAATTGTTTTGATTCATGATGCTTCATGATGCTGTTTGTTCACGTATGTTGTCCAACAAAATTTTGAGCCTTCCAGAAACAGGCTTAGGTAATCTAGTAACCTGTGTGCAATTCCAGCGCTAAATCCATTCAACTATTTACATATGTGACCCCTGGAGGCAGTGAGTTGCACTAGAGCTTATTTAGGCATGTCACAACAAAAGGGGTGAATATGTATGCAACCAGCAAGTGCCTGTTTTTCTTTACTTTTGCTGCACAATACATATATTTTGCACTTTCAGCGTTTTGAATCTCTTGTGTATATCAAGTGGTAACAATGCCAATGAAGCCTATTTTATTCATGGTCACAACAGCTACAAAATGTGGAAAGTCAAAGGGGTATATGTATATGTGCATGTGTGCGGGGGTGGCAGGAGGGTAATGCTACTGTTTCTGCAGTGGAACAGACAGAAAGAATTCATTCAGCTTCTTGATCAATTCATTCTTCTTCAGTACTACTTCAACTGCATAACCTTCCAAGTGGTGAACTGCCTCCTTAGCCGGCTTCTGATATAATTAAATATTTCTTTATTATTGGCCTTGATGTTGTTAGCAATATATTCCTTAGAAAGTTGTTTTCTTTCTTTTTGCAGATCTTATTGTACCCTCACATCTCCTTTGTATAAGCTTGTGTTCTTTTGTTTTCCTTATTTGGGCAAGGGTTGAATTTTCTGAAGTAAGCATTTTTCTTATCACTTCTTTGACACTGTTCATTAGCCATTCTGGTAATCTTCTGGGCTTGCTGTTACCATTCCTAATTTATGGTATGTATGCTAGCTAAGCTTCTATTTTTTGGTGTTGGATAACCTCCAAGCATTTTGAAACAATTTAAGTATTTTATTTTGACTCCTGACCTATTTCAATTTCCTTTTTACGTGTTCCCTTATTTTAGACATATGACCTCTTTTGAAATCCAATGTGACTGCATTGGACTTCTTTGACTTTTCCACAAAAATATACATTAAATCTGATAGCACTATAGTCATAGTTTCCAACTGGTTTAATGACATTTATATCTCATACTATGTTCTGGATGACTCCACTTAGGATTAAATCTAGGATCACCTTCCTCTCTGGTCAATTTCAGGACATCGACATTCAGAGTACTGAGAAATTTAACCATTTTGTCATAACTATGTGTTTTTCCAGTCAATATGGGAGTAACTGCAAACACTGTCACAACACTTTCTTGTTTTGTTTTATTTATTTATTTATTTTTCAATTTCTATCCTGCCTTTTTCCTCAAAGGGCTCAAGGCAGCTTACATCATTCCCCTCCTCCATCTTATCCCCACAACAACCCTGTGAGGTAGGTTGGGCTGAGAGTCTGTGACTGGCCCAAAGTCACCCAGTTGGCTCCATGGCCAAGCGGGGACTAGAACCCAGGTTGTCTGAGTCCCAGTCCCATGCTCTTAACCACTACACCACACTGGCTCTCCTTGTGAATCTTCTTGATTTTATTTTTCATCCTGAGCATTCTGGTCTGGGGATAATGGCATTTTCTTAGTATTAAATTAGTGTTAAGAGTCACCCACAGCACTTTCTTGAAAGAGAATGCCCCTTTTAGGTTTCCTAGTCTCCTCAACAGTATGCCTTCATTGATGTACAGAGTAATACATCCTCCATTCCCCTTCTCACTGTGCCACCTCTCATAATTCTCCCAATTCCAATCCCTTCCTGGGCCTTTCCTTTAACATAAGCAGAACTCTGCAGAGTGCAGCTCTGGAACAACTCACTGATAAAGGGTGGAATATGTTTTAAACAAATAATTCATTTTCAAGAAATGTAGTTTTAATATTAATATTCTGTGCCATATATGTGATACTGAACACTCAAATTTGCACTAGAAGAAAAAGCACCTTTTCACAGCACAACTGTTACATTTGAAACACATGTGTGAAGCTGTCCTAAATCAAGGACAAATGTGGATTTCAAAGAATGGAAAGGAAAAGAACACTATGTACTATGGAGAGACATTTACAATAATCTGAGTCATATTCTTTCACTGCACTGTGCTTCAGAGATGAGCAGTTTAGCATATTACCAGTGTATCTAACAAATAAATACCCACAGCCCACAGCCTACCAACAAACAGACTTTCTTACCCAAAGGTCATGCTCCGCATAGTCAAAGAGAAGCCACACTTTTCTGTCAGCATGAGATAGAAACACTTTTTGCAGAGAAATTACATTTGGATGCTTCAGCTCTCGCAGCAACTGCAAAACAAACACCATCCATTAGAAAGGTGTCTATACCAGCCAGAGATTAGAGGTAGCTATTCTTTTTATCGTTTTAAACCCTATCAATAAGCTTATTTTCAGAATTCATCTTGGAAGCTTTAAATTCACAAGCAAAAAGTGCTTTGGGCTTCATTTTAATGAAGGAATTCCTTAGAGACCTAAATCAGACTACAAGGTCAGATACACCTCCCTTAGGATGCAGATGGTGCTATTTAAGTTAAATGCTTATAGGAAAGTGAGTTTCTTCCTCATCATCCTCACCCTCATTAGCACCATAGCCCTCCATGCAGAACACACCTTGTTTCCCATATACATATACCAAACATACTTTGTCTCTCCCTAAACTACCATGTCCTTAAACTGTCTGGAGTACTGTGTCTTATATGTGTGCTACTACAATCTGAGCAGTTCACTTAAAATCTGCCCAGTTAATTTACTATTTGTTACATTTACATAAACCATATAAAAACAATACACTAAACAAATGAGTAGTTGTGGGTTAGTTATGTCAGAAATATTAAGCTGTTCCTAACAGAAAGCATAACAATGGGGGAATTGATACTTTAAGCCCGAATAAGATCACGACAGGAGGATTTATAGTTGCAAGGCCATTTGAAAGATGCACTTAAGAAGTGTTTTTTTTTTAAAAAAATCATTCTGTAAAGAGAGCATTTTGCTCCACTTAAATAAAAATTACATACATAAAACTGATAATAAAAAATGATCTCTTAAGAGTTTTTATGAAGCATGCATACAGTTCATCTAATTCTAATATTACTTCTTTACATGAATACAGTGAAAGCAGCATTAAATTTATAAAGTACTTCAAATGTTGTAAAGTGTTATACTACTGGGAAAGTTACTTAATATTAACCAGTTCTAGAAAGGTTTTGATGCTTAGACAAAGGGCAAAACTTCATGCTTGAAATGTACATTGGATTTGGATTAAGAACAAAATGCAAGCAGAATTGGATTGCATTGGCCCAGTTCTGCTGCTTCCTGAGATGAGGAGGGGATTCCTTTTGAAGCCACCAGAAACAAAGTCAGATAAAAAGGGGGCTTCATTACTAACTAGCTCATTGTCTCCTGCAATAGTGCCCTTTGGTTTTGTTTTTCTAAAATGTAAATTATAAGTGGGGGAAGGGAGAAGTGTTAAGTGATTGACCAATTCATCTTCTAATCCTAGGATAAATTTTTACCAGGCCTTCAAGTACTGCACTTGGTGGGAGGGCATGGATAGAACCATTCTTCCATTTCTTAATAGACATTCCTCCAACAACACCAGGCTTCACTATGAAAAAAAGCCTTAAACAGGTTTTCAATCAGCAATGTACATATCCTACTAAAACTATGCAGGATTCTTGCTTGGGAACAAGATTCAGCGCCATGACCCATCCCCATTCTCCTTATGAAAAGCTGCACCAGCTGCTATTTGCTTCTGTAGGAAACATATATAGAACAAAAGCTGTGTTGGTTAATACTGCATCGAGGGGAAAGTTAACCTCTTGCCACAGTCCTGAGCTACTTCACATCCCTCTAGCTGCTATTGGAAAGCAATTTAAAGAAACAGATATGTACTTCTGCATCTCCATCAAGACATAGAGCTTCATCTTCAAGCACAAATGTAATGGAATTATTCAATGATCACAGTTTTATTGCATTCAGATGACTATATTGCAATGAAACTTGATGTCAAATCACTGGCATCTCTGTTTTAGGATCCAAAACTTAACTAATGCAGCTTGTTGCTCCCTTAAACTATTAACACAACATTGTTATGATCAATTTCAATGAAAGATGCATTTTTGAGGCAAACAAAATTTCTGTATTTGAATGCAAGCTTGTTTCTTGAAGGAGATAGGAAACATGTTATTGTATGGGAATTATTGTATGGAATAATAATAGTTACCAAATAAAGTTACTTTCACCAATGAAATAATTTTAATATATTTTAGCATTTAAATTACTTACTGCTATTTCTCTGCATGCAGACATAGAAATTCCAGTACCTTCTATTTGTTTTAGAGCATAATCTTTATCATCTTTCCTGCGGGAAAAAATAAAAGCATATTGGCTATTCCAAAGAACCATATAAACACTATTTAGAATTGTACAGTTAAATATTTGGAGAAAGAGAAAATACCAAGCAAGCACAGGAAAAAATATTCATTTTTTAATGCTAACACATATCCAAGATCTATTCTGCAGAAAGGATTAAAGCATGACCTTTGTACAGCATATATGAAGATTAACCTTTCATATGCTGCATATACCTGTAAGCAGATCACAGCAGAACCTCTGAATATAAGGGCCCCCACCAACACAGAAATATAAGACCTTGGCAAGTCTGTGGTCATGATATTCACTCAAAATGCAAACAAAATTTTAGCAAAGTGTCCCCACCTCAATTTTCTTTATACCAAATGCAAAGGAAGAACTAAAAGCATACACACACATATGTATTTGTATTTAATATTTGTGCGTATGAAACAAGCTGGATCTGTTTGTATTGAAACAAATTTGGCAGGACCATATCAGACTAGCTAAATCTCCAATTTTAATTTTGAACTGAATACCTAAGACTCTAACCTAATCACTTAGTTCACCTTCCCACCTGAGAAGAAAACTGATTTTTCCAGAAGATCCTTGATACTAAGCTTTTTATAATATCTAACACACTAAGACAGAAAGCAGGGTTGGTCTTGATTTGGTTTCAAAACATCTTATTAAAATGTATGAGAAATACTACAGATTAGCTACTTAAGGAATTGGCTTATCAGTCTGATGGAGTTCAAGAAGCTACAGCATTCTAAAACACAACTGGCTTTCCCTTTCTAGCATATGGCATAAGAGAGGCACAACAGTTTAACCTGTCTGGTGGAGAAGCATATCTATAGCTCTTCCAGTAGCTTTGCATGCCAAGCCTTGCATTTCAGCACCAAGGACAGAGAATCCATCCTAAAGTGAAGTGCCTCTCCATATGCAGTATTTACCTATGAACAAATCTATCTCTAAACTCATTGCTTCCTATAATTTCTTTGCCTACTGTAAACAAGCATGTGTGGGAGACTAAAATTTTTTTACCAAACTCTTAGAATTTGCACACTTCTCTGTCTTACTCATGTCTGTTATTGATGGTTTATAGTGATTGGAATCAAATGACATGGCAACCCATCAGAGGTTGTTACCCATGAAGGGCTTTGCATGATGCAAACACTGAACAACTCCAGTCCAGAATTGTTTCAGGGCAAGAAGCCACTCAGACAACCCATAGGTTGCTGTAGAGCAGGGGTCCTCGAACTTTTTAACCAGGGGGCCAGTTGAAAGGTACTGGTGCTGGGCGCAGGCCAGAAAGGTGGGCTGGTGGTGAGCACAGGCCGGCGTGTGTGGGTGCACACGCTGAGGCGGGGGCTGGGCGCATGGTGAGGGGAAGCAAGGCACGGGCAGATGGGGTGCACGCATGGTGAGGAGAGGTGAGGCGGGGGTGGGCACGTGCTGCGAGGAGGGCGCGCGAGGCAGCGGCTTGCTTGCTTGGAGATCGTTTTCTCCGAGTGAGCAAAACGTGCCTGCCCATGCACAGGGCGAGGTGGGCAGCAGTGGGTGTGCATGTGGGGTGGGTCCAAATGGGCATGGCGGGCTGGATCCGGCCCCCGGGCCATAGTTTGAGGACCCATGCTGTAGAGGTTACTGTACCTAAAACTAGTTGGTCATCTGAACCTGGGTGACCAATCCCATGGTGGCTTGAGCCAGCTCTCAAGCCCCCAAGCAGCACTTGGAGGAAGTTGCCACTCCAGGGGACTCCAGAAAAGAGGTAGAGATGCACTTTTGTGCTTACCTGAGCACCTACTGTCTCAAGGAAAAGTGCAAAATGTGCATCACCGCACACACTATCAGGGAAAATGGTGAGGATCTTGCCATGAAAATGGTACAAATCTCACAAATCTCATCATCCTCCTTTCACAAGCAAAGATCACCTTTGTTTTCCCTTGATAGTTTCTCTTTTGATAGCTATCAAGAGAAAGCAAAAGGAAGAAAAAGCCTATTTGGTCACTTCTTTGGGACAACACCAGGGGCTGGTATGTGCTGTTCTTTGAGAGCAGATAACCTCACCACCACAGCATTGCCCCACCAGGAGTCCCAACTTCTGCAGCTTGAAAAGTGAAGCAATTAATGCTCCTGATGTTTGATGGAGTGTTTCATTTTATGGTGCTTCAATCTTCCAATTATCAGTTTCTGTTTGCACTTTATAAATCTGTAGCATTGCTAAATTTGTTTGGTAGACATATACTTATGTAGTGTGTTTCCTGAAAAAGTCAGAAAAGATGTTAAAGAAACTACTGAATATGAATTACCTCTGGATCTGCTGGCTAGGGAAAACAGGATAGTAAAATGACTGGCAACGTTCACAGAACATATTGGTTAGTACCTACTAGAAACAGCAACATCTTCCATGAACAGAGTAGTTATTATGAAAAATCTGGCAAATGGTACTTTATGCATAAACTGAGCTATTATAAATAAATATGTGATGGCTAAAAATTTGGAAAGGACACTTGAAAATGTTGGCAACCATTTTTTAGTTTTTGGAACCAAGCTGAGCTATTTGAGAATGTTAGACACGAATTTCTTATATAATAGTGTATAATATTGTGCAAAATGTCTAATTTCTTTTGTACAGAAACTTGATTGGACACATATACATACTAGGGGGTGGCCAAACTTGCTCAACGGAAGAGCACATATGGTAAATGTCAGATGTTTGACAGCTGCAAGCAAACACCCACAGGCAGCAGCAGTGGGTGGTAAGAGGCGAGCAGGCACCTGTGGGTGGTGGCAGGGGGGGGGGGGGGGGCAAGCCACAAAATAAACTTAAAGAGCTGCATATGGCCACCCCGATATATACTATGTCCAATTTCCTTATGTATAAAAGCCGCAGCAAAAGAACTCTGTAGCACTCCATCTTAATTAGCCAATAAAATTGTCTCACACGTTTTAATTACATGTTATATTAAATCTGAATCATAGCTAAAAACAATTCATTTTTCTTCTCATTGCAGTAGATTCTAGCTCCTTCAGGACTATGATCAGAATCCTTTGAATTTGGAGGTATATTTGAGCATGCATTAAACCTTACCCATTATTCTCTGCTGTTTTGCAAGACATCTCAGGCCTAAATTTGCCAAAGGTCACACAAAATCTTACAGGTCAAGTGAATCCTACATGTAAACATTCTGGTCATATTTCAATTGTTGGATATTGTTTCAGACAAATGACAGTTAACCGTATGCCAGTTTAGATGACATGACAAGTTGTGGTTAATAAACATGGAAAAGTTCCTAAGCTCTTCCAGCAATACCAGACGAAAATAGGGAAGGGGGTAAGCACATGATCTTATCGTATTTCATATCATGAGTTTAGCAGGATATTCAAATGTCATCATTGTAATCTCCCTACAGAATCAGGACTATCTGAAGATCAGGAGATATGGATCAAGAACTACCTTGTACCATGCTTAGTGAATTGTTCAAACCAAGTTGCCTCACCTGTTACTGTCCCAATGCAGAAGAAAGCCTCTGGTGTGCAAAGGCTATGTGTAACTGCTTGATGGCACAGTTTGATCAGGACTAGTGGCCAAAACTATGGCAATTTGCTTGGTAGAAATAGCATCTGCTACAATTAACTGCTTTTAATTGTAGAGAATTTCTGCTATTTGACAGAAGAAAAATGTAATACATAATAAATTTTGTATTGTATGGTTCCAAGTATAGTAAGGTACATACATGATGGTCCTTTCAGAGTTTGTTAGAGAAGAATCTAACCTCTTGGGCCTCGATCATCAGGTTAGTGATTTTTCAGTTCAGAACAAAACAGTCATAAGAGGCTAATTCAGTGATTCACCTGTTAAAAATGTAAGAAGATGACTGGGTTCACTCAGCATGTTGTCCAAATCTATTTTTAAGTCAGCCCCTGAAGCATGGCTTGTTTCAGGCTTATAAAGGACTTTTGGACTTTAACTGTTGTCCAAGTGATAAAATTCCCTACAGAGCTGCATAACAAGAGTGGTAGAAAAGGCTAGCCATTCTGCCCAAACTGCTCAAAGCACCAATCCCAAATGCAAATGGTAGCCATAAGAGCACAAGACTACCCTGATATGAGCCTGAGCTGAATGCTTCCCTGTCCTACTATATTAGGAGGGACAAGATGCACTCTACTTGGCCTATTTCAGAGTAGGCACCATGGCCACCTGCCAAAAGCACAGGCAACTGCGGCAGTGCAGGGTGAGCTGAGCAAGATGCAATTCATTCTCTAATCCTCTCCTCCCTAACCCTCCAGGAATGGCAGCTAGTTGTTGCACCCCACCTGCCACTTTGGGCCAGCAGCACCAATGGGGAAGAGAATCCGGCTGCAGCCCACAGCTGCAGCCAGCCCTTTCAGTTGTGTGCCATGGTAGCAAACATTGTTTCCACCTACTCGGACTTTGAACTTACTGCTACTACAGGGTCCTCTTGGGTACCTATCGAAGGACTGAGGGAGAAAGAGGCACCCTATGCCAGATAGGCACTATGACTTAAAAGCCACACTGGGTAGCTTTCTATGCAGTGTGATTTATCATTGCTCATGCAAACTTTCCAACTGTTAAAAGGCACAAAGTCAAGATAGGGTAATGGAAATAACTGTGATAAATGAAATTGGGGTCTAGCAAGTGGTCTGTTGCTGCACAGATGGAGCTAGTCCCTATCATGTGGCCCACACAGACTCAGGACCAGCCATGCAACAGCAGGAGATTGAAAGCCATATTATATACATATTTTTAATTGTTGCCAAACTGCTTCAGAGTAAAGAAATTAGTTTCACTAAGTGTAGGCCATCTATGTTTATGTTTTATAGTATATACAGTGGTACCTTGGCTCACAAATGTCTCCGTTCACGACCAAATCAGGTTGCAAGCAGAAATTTCTGAAAAATTTTTCCTCGGGTCGTGAACTTCGTATCGGGTGACGATCATGATCGCACCCGTCTCCCCCGATCGTGCCTGTCTATGGATGC